AAGTCATCTTGGCTGGTGACTGTTGAAGAGCATGCACAAAGGTTCTGAGATTGGTAGAAACATGTTTAAGGAATTTAAAACATATCTAGTGAGTCAGGGAGATGGAAAGAAAGAGACATGGGAATGATCCAAGTTGGGGTTGAAGAAGGAAGCAAAGGCCTGGTAGTACAAAGCCTTCCTTTCATAATTTTGGTCTTTATCTCAAGACTCAACAGCTGTTGTAGAAGTGTAAGGAAAGAGATGAATAGTTAAGATGTGCATTGAAAAAACATGACTCTGGGCAAGAAGGAAAGCCAGGCCATCAGCTAGGATGTTCCTGCAGTGGTCCAAAAGTGGTCCAATTGCTAGGATGGTAGCAATGGGTATAGACAGAATGGATGCATTTAAGAGATAGTCAAGTGGTAAAGAGGTACAATATGTACAAGGGAAATATTCCTCGAGTTCCAAAGAAGGCTTAATATCAGTGACTGAAGAAGTATATTGTCTACCTATCCCAATGCTTAGGAGAAGAATTAGAGGTGAATTTTTCCCTTTGTCTTCCATCATCTCCTGTCAATTCTGTGCTTGTTTTACTACTAGAAAACTGGCTGAGTGAAGGGGTTTAGGTTTCCACTGAAAAAATAAAGTTGCCTGAGGGTACAGTCTAAGCTGTGTGCCTTACTGGGCTAGAACATGGGGCATAAAGAAGACTGGGTCTTGGCCTCTGCCTTTTTGACATTGTCATTGTCAAACCAGGGAGACCTGTCCAGAGCATCATGGTACAATACCAAGGCCATTAGGAGTTAGTGGGAGACTTTGAGGGAGCCAGGATAATATTGTGGTGGTTAAGAGAGCAGGCTCTGGAGTCTGGGTTTGAATTTGGAAATACCTATTTATTAACTTCCTCCTCTAAATTGCCTTATCTAAGAGATGGGACTAATAATAGTATATTATTCATAAAGTGGTTCTAACAATAGTATAGCATGATATATGAAATCATCAATTGGCCAGGCACATAGTAACTGCTTAATAAATGCAATCAATTTATGTTATTATAGGGGAGGGGCCAATTAGCTATCTGCATAGAGTCAGGAAAGGTTACACTGTGATCCCTTACAACTTATTTAAAGAGTATATATAATTGACCTTTAATAAATGCTTGCTTAGGGAATGAGTATGTTTTATGACAATAAAATAATTTATTGAGCATTTATTCTATGTTAAGCCCCATGTGAGCCTTATAAAGATATTTTCTCATTTAATTCTTATCTGATCCTAAGAAGAAAATACAATTCTTACCCACATTTCACAGATGGGAGTCCTGAGGTCTCAAAGCATCAGTTATTTGCCCACGATTACAGAGTAAACTGTATTTAAGCTGGGATTTAAGTTCAGTCCAGACCAATTCCAAGCTTCGCTTTTAACTTCTACAAGTTCTGCAAGCCTCTTTGCCTAAAAGCGCTGCTGAATTAAAACTAGCTTTTACTTATTATGTATTTGTTCAGTTGATTGATACTAAAAATACATTAGTATACAGAATCAAAAAATATTCGTAGTATTTTACCTGAACATCTTCATTTTATAAATAAATACTTATTGTAGGAAAATAAATAGGTATGGGAATAAAAAATAACTTATTATTATAACTCATAATTACTATACACATTTTGCTGTGGATTTCTTCAGACTTTTTTCCCCAATGCATTGATGTTTGAGTTGTATGTATGTAAACCCACATTTTTATAATAAAAATTGAATGAAGTTAAATAGGACATATTTTACCCTACTTTTTCATTAAGAATATATTGAAAACTAAGTAGTACTAAGCATGGTTGATGGCACATAGTAAAGATTCAGCAAATGTCGGCAGCCATTGAGGTTGTCACCACTGTCATCAACATCATCTTGCCCTCCAGTAAGGCTGTAATAATTTGACATCCCAACAACAAATTATTCTTTTCAACACACCTCCAGCAAACTTGGCTTCTGATCATTCTTTTGTGTATGCCAATCTTGAAGAATGAAAATGGAATTAGGCTGTTGTTTTACTCTGCACATATTTTATTACTAATGAGGTTAAACATTAGTCATTTTTATTTTTATGTTTTGAATTTTCCTTCACTTGCTATTTTATTAGTTCTCTATTTTATTTTTTTAATTTTTAGGTTTTTTTTCTTGAAGTATATTTGATTTACAACGTTGTGTTAGTTTCTGGTGTACAGAAAAGTGATACAGTTATACATATATATGTATATACACATATGTATATATAGTTTTTCAGATTCTTTTCCATTGTAGGTTATTATAAGGTATTGAATCTAGTTCCCTATGCTATACAGTAGGACCTTGTTGCTTATCTGTTTTATATGTAGTAGTGTGTATCTGTTAATACCAAGCTCAGTTTATGGTGGAGGATGTTCTGCCTATGTTCTCTTCTAGGAGTTTTAAGGTGTCCTGTCTTATATTTAAGTCTTTAAGTCATTTTGCGTTTATTTTTGTGTATGTTGTGAGGGAGTGTTCTAACTTCATTGATTTACATGCAGCTGTCCAGCTTTCCCAACAATACTTGCTGAAGAGACTGTCTTTTCTCCATTGTATATTCTTGCTTCCTTTGTCGAAGATTAATTGACCATAGGTGTGTGGGTTTATTTCTGGGCTCTCTATTCTGTTTCATTGATCCATATGTCTGTTTTGTGCTAATACCATGCTATTTTGATTATGTAGTTTTGTAGCATTGTCTGAAGTCTGGGAGTGTCATGCCTCTAGCTTTTTTCCTTTTCCTCAGGATTGCTTTAGCAATTCTGGGTCTTTTGTGGTTCCATATAAATTTTAGGATTATTCGTTCTAGTTCTGTGAAAAATGTCATGGGTAATTTGATAGGGTGCATTGCATTAAATCTGTAGATTGCTTTGGGTAATATGGTCATTTTAACAATATTAATTCTTCCAATCCAAGAGCATGGGGTATCTTTCCATTTCTTTGAATCATCTTCAATTTCCTTTATCAGTGTTTTATAGTTCTCAGTGTATGTCTTTCACCTCCTTGGTCAAGTTTATTCCTAGGTATTTTTTTTTTTTTGACATGATTTTAAAAGAGTTTTTTTTTTTTTTTCTGACAGTTCATTTCATTTCTGTGTTTCCTGTACCTGAATATGTTTCCTTCTTTAGGTTTTGGAAGTTTTCAGCCATAATTTCTTCAAATACTTTTTTGGTCCCCTTTTCTCTTTTTTCTCCTTCTGGGATCCCTGTTATGTGTAGATTGGCATGCTTTTGTTTTTTTAAACATCTTTATTGGAGTATAATTGCTTTACATTGGTGTGTTAGTTTCTGCTTTATAACAAAGTGAATCAGCTATACATATACCTATATCCCCATATCTCATCCCTCTGCGTCTCGCTCCCACCCTCCCTATCCCAGCCCTCTAGGTGGTCACAAAGCACTGAGCTGATCTTCCTGTGGCACGCTTTGTATTATCCCATAGGTCTTATGTTGCTTTCATTTTCTTCATTTTTCTTTCTGTCTGCTATTCTGATTGAGTGATTTCCATTATTCTGTCTTCCAGATCACTTCTTCTCTCTTCTGCATTATTTAGTTTGCTATTTGTTGCATTTAGCTCAGTTTTCATCTTGGCAATTGAGGTGTCTAATTTTAATTGTCCTCTTTATAGTTTCTATTTCCTCATTACAGTGATCCACACTTCTATCCATAGTCTTTCTTAATTTCTTCAGGATTTTTATTACTTCCTTTTTGAACTTGGGGTCTAGTAAACTGGAGAGGTCTGTCTCATTGTTTGTTTTTTCTGGGGATTTCTTTTAATTGGGAATGGTTTCTCCTTCATTTTACTTATATTTCTCTGACTCTATTAATTTAGGAGAAACAGTTATCTATCGTGGTCTTGAAGGGCTGTTTTTATTTGAATCTAATATTTTTAGCGTCCTGTATGAGTCTAATATTTTTCGTGCTAGGGCTGTTTTCGGTATGGATGCCTGCCACATCTTTCCTCAGTGTGTGCTGGCCATTATCCCCTTGATAGAGGGTGTGATTGATGTTGTGGTGGCCAAAGCCTGCACTGGATGTTAGAGGGGTCTCCTCTTTGCTCCATGGTTGTCATAGCCCTGTCGGGGGCAGGGCCTGATCCCCACTTATTGGAATAGAAGCCCTCAGATCTGGTTCTAAGCTGTGGTGCACTCCCACTGGGAAAGGGACTGGCGCACTCTCGCTGGGAAAGGAGCCACTGGGTATTCCCCCGCAGGAGCTGTCCACTGAGACGTGTGCTCTGTGATGTTGCCTCTCACCCTTGTGCGTGCTTACAAAGTGCACTGTTGAAACTGCCCTTTGCCCCATCTCAGCAGAGGAAAAGCTGGCAATCAGGCTGCAAGTCTCTCAGGCGCTGTGCTCACAAATCTGCCAGTGGCGTAAATCCGTGGAAGTCACGCACCCACCAGGAATCAGTTCAGATTTCAGCCCCACTTCTGTGTGTGGGCAACCTGCAGGTGTTTGTGTGTGCCCAGAGTTGGGGCTGCATCCTCTGTGAGCAGGCTGAGAATGAGGCTGCTGTGACAGGGCCATGCCCCTCCCTTTGCACTAGCAGTGACAATAGGGCTCCTATTTGCCCTCACACACCGCCAGCTGTGACCTGGACCACTCCTGAGGCCCTTGTGGCTGTCTCTGCGTGGCCTAACTGAATCTTCTCCCTGGGTTTGTCTGCTGAAGCCCGAGTATCAGAACCCAGCTGCCACCGGTGAGCACTCCAGCAGGTATGCGTTTCAGGCTGGGGCACGCAGTGAGGTGGCCAGGACCTTCTGTGCAGGTCTCTCTTTGTCCTGCCTTCTACAAGCTGGCTGCTGCCCTCACCTCTGAGCCCCTGAAGCTTCCTGTCTGTCCTGGCTGATCTCCCAGCCGGTGAGGGCGGTTCCCATGGTGAGGGAACTTTTCACAGCTCCCTCCAGGGGTACAGGTCCTGTCCTGCTTCCTTTTCTCCCCCTTTCATCCTACCCAGTCATGTGGTGGTCTTTCTTGCAGCTGTGGCTGTATGAGACCTTCAGCCAGCACTCAGTGGGTGTTCTGTGAGAACTGCTCCACATGTGATGTAGTTTTGATGTATCTGTGGGAGGAGGTGAGCTCCACGTCCTTCTATTTCACCATCTTCATCTCCCAGTCTGCTTATTATTTTCTTATTGGTGAGTAAGGACTCTTTATGTTATGATTCTCATGTATTAAATGTATATTGCAGATATTTTCGTCAGCTTGTGGTTTGATTTTCTATTTATATTTTAGTATATTTTTTAAACAAGTAATTTAAAAATTAAGTAATTAAATTGGTCGGTCTTTTTATTGTGGTTTTTCTCTTTGGCATTTTACAAATAAATGTTTTATTCATATTTATGTAATATAAATATGGCATCTTTGACATAAAAAAGCGGTATACATCTTTCAGAACTTGGGAACCATTGGTATAAGAAATAAAGTCACATGGGGTATGGATCTGCATTTATGGTGTCACTGGGAAGAACTGAAAAGCTCTTTGCTTTGGGGAGAGTTTCAGTGGCTTGTGGATGTTTACCAAGTTTCTCGCTTGTCAAAGTCTGAAGATATGAGATTTTTTTTCTTTTTGTTTTCATCTCCTTTTCTTGAAACCAGAGTGTCTTGTTTTTCAGGTAATCCACTACAAAGTGCAGTACATCAAAAGGGGCTCATCTTTATATTAAAGTTGAGACTTCTGAGGCAGAGGGATTAGTTACATTTTTGAAATTGTTAAATTAATACAATCAGAATAATAGTAATGGATCAAATATTTCTGCATCTTACATTATGTTGTTCATCATGAAGATGAAAATATTTTCACTTTTCAAAGATATACGTTTATGTATTATACAATATTAAGTAGATAAAAAATAGATACATCTTGCTGTAGACTTGAAAAAAACACTGACAAATGTGCAGATGAAATTCTGACTTATTTTATGAACTCAGTTTTAAACAGTTGGCTTATTCTGGATTAAAAGGTAATGTAATGAATCACTTTTATTGTGAAATTCATCAATCAAAATAGAAATGCCCTTCTTCCCGTCAAAGAGATATACGCTTTTATGAACAATTTAATCCCACATTTAACTGAAAATCTTTCTTTTCTTCTAGTTTTTGTTTCTATCAATTTGACATCATACATGGCTACTGATGGCAGTGATCTTGTAAGTACCCTTTGGAATACTTCAGACTTGAAATATTAATTGTCAGTTTGATGAATGAGTAAAAAATTAGGCCGATTTTAAGTTTGGCTAGCTATTTATTGTCCTCCATTTGGTTAGTCACAATGGAATTAAATGATCCTCTTGTTAGAGTCTGAGGGTTTCTTATGATCACCAAGCATTTGTTTAAGACTCCTAGCTATTTACTTTTTTTTTTTTTTTTTTTTTTCGGTACGCGGGCCTCTCACTGCTGTGGCCTCTCCCGTCGCGGAGCACACGCTCCGGACGCGCAGGCTCAGCGGCCATGGTTCACGGGCCCAGCTACTCTGCGGCACGTGGGATCTTCCCAGACCGGGGCACGAACCCGTGTCCCCTGCATTGGCAGGCAGATTCCCAACCACTGTGCCACCAGGGAAGCCCTCACTGTGGTTTGGTCAAGGGCAAAAGCAAATGGATGTCAGAGATCTGTAAAGATAGAGTCAGGAAGACTAAGGTTCAGAATATCCAAAGTTTATGAAAAGTTTTAAAAAGAAGAAAATGCATGGGATTATAAGCATATGTGTCATGTGTATGTGTTATGTGGAACAAAGATATGAAAAGAAAGAATTAGGACTGTTGGATCCTTGAGAAAGGTAATGGAGGGTTTAATTATTACACTGCTTTGCTTTTTCTGAAGAAAAAATGTAGTCTTCCAGCTGGAAGGAGTTCATCTTATATGTTTAAGAGAATGGAAATTAAGATAATAAGAGACCACCTAAGGACGTTAAATGAATAAGTTCGTTCATTCATTCATTGAGACATTCATTTAATGCTCACTGATTACCTCTCCTGAGTTTATCAAGTGTCAACCACTGTAATAGGTGGGAATTGGAGATTTAATTGTGACTTGAAACAAGTTAAAATCTCCACATCTTATAAAAAAAAGTACAGCCTTGGGTTTTGGAACAAAGATGGCAGATGTGATTACCAAAGGACTAACATATCATTCTGTAGCCCCCAATCTATAGCTATTACTGCTGTAATAGGTAACCTGCTTCCCCTTGGTCCTGGGCACAAGTGGATTCTGTTCTTCTTGGTGGGAACTCTGGCTCTTTATGGGTCTTTCTCATTTCATGAGCCATTCTCCACTCCTAGACGCAATCAGCTCAGCTCTCCTTGTGTGTCTATTTACCTGTTATTTTTATCTCACAGCCATCAACATCTGGGCAGTACTGCTTAATGTCTCTCTTAAGCATTTCTTCCAGCTGCTTTTCAGTGGTTACCCTACTTTATCTTTCCATTCAGAACATTAGTTCAGTTTTCTGCTGTCATTTGTTCTCTAAATAAAATGTAGCACAGGAGACCTATTTTTATGCTAGGTAGTTTTGGTAGGCGTGACACATTTGGCCTAATCGCATCCCGAATTACACCTCATTTCCACTAAACTAGCATGTATTGAGCTACATGTGCTGAGCTCTCTGCTTGGTGCTGGGGTACGAAGAGGAGAAGCCGACCACCTGGTCGGGGCAGGGTGATAATGGTGAAGTGGTGCTAATAAAACTGTTCAAGAAAGTAGATTCTAAGCATCTGAAATCTCATTATAGTGTATTATAGTATAGCATAGTCAAAAAGCATTGCTCTTTTTTTGTTAAGCTGAGTTGCTGTTATCTGCTGGTATTCTTTTCTTTCCTCCGGTTTTCTCTCCTCTGAAGGGAAAGAGCAGAATTTTCAAAGCTAAAGCTTCAACACAGAATCAAAAAGTATTAACTCACCAAGTTCTGTCTGTCTTCCCTCCTAAATATTTCTCCGTCTTCGCAGATGCAACGCTTGCCCTTCCTTCTGTTCACTGGGCTCTTTGCCTCTCTCTGCACCTGCTCTCAACTACCCCACCCCCGACTTCTATCTGCCGCCTCACAACAGCCAGGGTGGATTTTCCTAACTGCAGATGTGATTTTGCCACCCCCCTGCTTCTGTCTGTTCAGTGGCTTCCCTTGGCTCTCAGATGAACTTCATACTTTCAAACATAACTTACATGACGTGGCTTGGCCACTCTGAATGTGGTGACCACGTCCAAAACCTACCTGCACTCGGTGGTCAATGCCTTCTGGCTTGTACCTGCATCTCTGTATCACATCCTCTTAGGCGCAGGTCCTTATCTGGAGGGCCTGCCCTGACTCCCCAGTTCTAGGTAAGCACTGTAATGGTGTGCAGACCTCATTATCCTTGTTCAGCTCTCTTTCGTCTGGGTTTCACTGGAAGCTGTGTTAGAACTTGCTTGCCATTGAATCTCTGGTCCTTGGCACTTAGTAGTTGTGCAGTAAGTGGTGGTAATCACCTATAGGATCCGGGTCACCTGTAGCTTTTTGGGAAATTTTTAACATAAATGATTAAATTTGGTACAATCGCTAAACATCCATTTGTGTAATTCTTGATGTTTATAAGGCTTTCCGTACATTATACTGTGGTGATTAAGCATTATACACCAAATCAGTATGGCTTAGTTTTCTTTTATGATTAGTTTCTTTTTTTTTTTTTACATCTTTATTGGAGTATAATTGCTTTACAATGGTGTGTTAGTTTCTACTTTATGACAAAATGAATCAGTTATACATATACATATGTCTCCATATCTCTTCCCTCTTGCATCTCCCTCCCTCCCACCCTCCCTATCCCACCCCTCTAGGTGGTCACAAAGCACCGAGCTGATCTCCCTGTGCTATGCGGCTGCTTCCCACTAGCTATCTATTTTACGTTTGGTAGTGTGTATATGTCCATGCCACTCTCTCACTTTGTCACAGCTTACCCTTCCCCCTCCCCATATCCTCAAGTCCATTCTCTAGTAGGTCTGTGTCTTTATTCCTGTCTTACCCCTAGGTTCTTCATGACATTTTTTCCCCCTTAAATTCCATATATATGTGTTAGCATACGGTATTTGTCTTTCTCTTTCTGACTTACTTCACTCTGTATGACAGACTCTAGGTCCATCCACCTCCTTACAAATAGCTCAGTTTCGTTTCTTTTTATGGCTGAGTAATATTCCATTGTATATATGTGCCACGTCTTCTTTATCCATTCATCCAATGATGGACACTTACGTTGTTTCCATCTCCTGGCTATTGTAAATAGAACTGCAATGAACATTGTGGTGCATGACTCTTTTTGAATTATGGTTTTCTCAGGATATATGCCCAGGAGTGGGATTGCTGGGTCATATGGTTATGATTAGTTTCTTATTAAAATAAATAGATAGGTAAATAAATAATAACGACCAGCATGTGAATCTTAAGGCTTGGTTAAGAAACTTCTCTGGTCTCAGATTTTAGTAACAACATTCTACCTAGAGAAGGAAAACAGCCTTAATTTAATGATGACAAGGCTCAGAGGGAATGTACACATCATCTCTTTTACCATCGTACATAATTCTTTTACCTAAAGCTTTCAGGGTTTACTTTCAGGGATTGCTCTAGTGGGGAAGAAATGTCAGAATCATCTTAGATCAAAACTTTATGACAGTGTTTTCCCGAAAATTGTTTAAAATAAATTTCCTTCAGTAAATATTGCCTGGAAAAAAGGTCAAGTGAAAACTTTTTCCTGGAACGAAAGTCTCTGCATATAAATCATGGTTACATTGCTCAATTTTCTGCTGCTTAGGACAAGCTCACTGAATGTGAATGGACATTTGCTTCTGGCCCTGAGGTCTGGGTTATCTGCTGTTGCCTGGACTGTCATCTGTGTGGTGATCTAACAGCAGAATGGGCCCCGATGCGTTTGCTTCACAAGAGAGAGCTCTCCATTCGTTGTTCACAGAACATGTATTGCCTGGTCTTTATGTGTACTGTGTGCTGTGAGCAGCCCAGATACGATTCCAGCCCCCATGGGAACCTGCTCTGCCCCGCACTCCATCCCTGTGCTCATGGTGTGTGTCTCAGGGATGTGGTGATATTCAGGGATGAAGTGAGGAATCTATTTTCCACCTTTTTGATCAACTAGAAAGAGCTGAAATGTTGGCAGCTTGTTTTTTTAGGCTCCATCAACAGAACTCTATGTTGAATTGGCTGTGCCAATGCTGCCTTGGACACAGGAGACTGTTTTGCATATTTTCTGTCCCAAGTAGGACTTCGAGTGGAGAAGTGCATGACAGCTATCTGGGGAACAGATGACTGGGTGAGGGCTTGTTAGCTACCACTGGAAAACTTGTGTCCCTCCTCCCAGCGCCTCTCCTCCACCCCATGCCTTCCTATTTCTTGGGTTCCTGATTCTTAGTATTTGGTGGATATGGTTAAAACAGGATGCTGGAGAGCTACTGTGTTTTTTGAGGAAATAGTATTTTACCTTCAAGGAAACGCCAAGGGTCATCTCTCCAGGTGGGTTCAAACTTAGTGTCAGCTGATCCCAGGGGCTTTTCTCTATGTATGTGCCTCTCTGGGGGAAGAAAGATGTTGGAGCAACTTTTATGTTGCTTTTCTCTGCTGATGTTAGCAGAGGTATTTTTCAGCTCTGAGTAATCAAACAGTAGAGATGGCTTTCCAGATATTTGTTAAATCTCCACTTGTACCAGGCACTATTATTAAGGCATTATAGGAAGTAAAATTTAATACAAGACCCAGTTAATCTTTTGGTAAATATTTATTGAATGCTTCCTATGTGTCAGGCATCACTCTAGGTGCTAGATTTTGAAGTCATGACGTGTTCAAGAATCTCAATTCTGTCTTGAATGCTTGGCCAATCATTGACTCTAAGCAAAGTCGTCATTCAACTACAGAGCTGATAAAAGAGATTTGATAAAAAGCAACATTAACAGGGGAAGTGATTGAGTAGCTGTGTGGGATAGAGGGTTGGACTATTAGATGGATTGTGTTACTACCATGTATGTACCACTCAGATATATAAACAGATAGATTATAATATCCATTTAAGAGGCATCAGCAAAGCATTGTGGAATATAAAAGAAGAAGTAGTAACACTGAGTTAAACAATAGGCGTAGGAGCCTGACTGGCCTGGGTTCTAGTCTTGGCTCTGCTAC